TCTGTCTCTCTATTGGACTGTCAAAGGTTCACGGATTGTTTCATCCTGATTTGTGCACCGGCGGAGAAAATTTCTCGTGTTTCATGCTCGAGCATACGCGTGTACATATTCCATCATAATCAGCATACTAACCTTCCTTTCTTCGTTCCCCCGTCTCTTTCTCACTCTCCCCCGCCCGCCCGCTCGCCCTGTGTGCTCGTGTTTTTGCAGATCGACAGAAGAGTGCGATCAATGTGGACGAAGTGCTCCGTTCTGTTGGCGGCATACGTAATTCGTTCCAACCGGTTTTTTTTGTTCATTACATCTGCCGATTTACGATTTTGATGGTTAAAGATTACTTGGTTCGATTGGATACGGTCTACTTCCATGAAGGTGGACATCTGCAGCGGATTAGGGAACTCGATGTGGACATAGATATACAAAAACTGGGCGGCGGCAACAGTGTTGATGTTGCTGCTGGTGAGGTCTAAGGTCCTGCTCTTCAGTTCGAGGTAGTGATGATCTTGACCGCTGCATACCTGTCGTTTAGCTGTAGGAGGAGGCAAATCTGAGGGCTGCCCATCTAATTTGTCGATTAGTAATCTAGCAATACTTGTGGTAGGTAGGCAGTTTGAGTCAGTAGCTCATCAAAACCTGGTGGTCGATCCAATCACTTGCACGGCTTATCTTTCCTATCTGTAGGGATCACGTAACATTCCTTTGGTTGATCGCTTCTCCTTTCCCTAAATTTGATACTACCATCATGTATTCACCAAAACCAAGTAAAACATACTTTGTTTTCATAACGGACGCTCTCGACACTTTCTTAGGTTTCTCATTGCATTCTATTCCATCGACATGATATTCAGTTATATTTGACAGTACTATTTGACCTAAAGCACTGGTGATATGGTGTTTTCAGTAATTCGCTTGAATCATCCGGTTGTGCTTCTGTGTTGTGTTATGCCGTCCCTGTTTGGCCTCGTTTGGATTCTGCATTGCAGTTTGTATGTGGTACTTCAATCTATGACTGTCTTCGATGTGCATGCGGTCTGCCACACAAGCACACACACGACAAACCCTATAGTGTGGTTCACTGCTGGTTGATGAAACCATTTCGTCTCGACTCGTTACAATTCCGGTGCTGCTACCCCGTCCCACTCGAT